GATAAATAAAAACTGTAATAAAATGAAAAAACAATAACTAACTCAAACAATATAATCTTTTTACAAAACTAACTGAAATAATATTAGTCTTTTTGTTGGAAAAATTGAGTTACGGGATTATTTTAGGAAGGTGTTGCTATAACTGCCTGCTTTGATTGATAATTAAAAAGCTGCTGTTTAGTTAACTCACAGGAACACTTCAAGCTGGAGGATGCATTGGCAAAAATGTTTATTCAAACTACAAAAAAATAAATAATACTAGAACTAATAAAAACTAAACTAAAACTAAGCGTTAACAAAGCAATAACTAATAAAAACTAGCAAATCCACGATAAAAACGAATTAAAACTAACTGCATTAAAAGAAAAAATGTCACAACTAAATAAAACTAAACTATAATGAAAAATCCAAAATCATTATAACCTTATGATAGACCTGAGTAAGAGGAGACGCAGGTTTGTGATGCTGAAAACTGATGTTAAATCCCTTTAAGACCCGAATTCTGGTTCACGCTGCTGCCCCCGGGTGTGGTCATGTGACTTGAGCAGGAAGGCAGGAATATACTTGTTGTTTTTATTCACATAAATGCAAATCAACTTGTATTTTAGATGTTTTTGCTGGTTTAAACCTGGTTAATAGACTGATATTGCTTTAAAACAGTGTGACACTTTAAAAGACTAACAAATCAAAACATTTCACTGCAAAAACTGTCCAAAGTTTTAAAATCTTATATCAGCCAAAAAGTCTTTTTGACCTTGTTTTGAGACTGATTTACTAAACAAGAACAGAAATATAAGAATAATAATCTTGTTTTCAGAATGTGTGAGATTATTTGTCTTGTTAGTCTGAAAATTTGACTCAAATTAAGTGAAAATTTCCTGCCATTGGAGTAAGAAAATTTTACTTGGTAAGATTCTTAAAATCTTGATTTGATTCAAATTTTTGCTATTTTAAGAATCTTACCAAGTAAAACATTCTTACTCCATTGGCAGGAAATTTTCACTTAACTTCAGTCAAATTTCCAGGCTAACAAGATAAATAATCTTACACATTCTGAAAACAAGATTATTATTCTTATATTTTTGTTCTTGTTTAGTAAATCAGTCTCAAAACAAGGTCAAACAGACTTTTTGGCTGATATAAGATTTTTAAATTTTGTTAGATGGGACAGTTTTTGCAGTGTTGTTGAGGAATAAAAACACACCTCTGCTTCCCTAATGAATTCTAAACAAAATAAATAAAACCTTTTTAAKAAACGACAGCTTTGTGTCCGCTTGCAGCCGGAGCGTCTTCGTCCTCAGAGGGAGTTTGTGAAGTCCCTGTTCGGGATCGGGAAGCGTTTGGCCACGCTGCCGACCAAAGAGCAGAAGACTCAGCGGCTGATCTCCGAGCTGTCGCTGCTCAATCACAAGCTTCCCGCCCGTGTGTGGCTGCCCACCGCCGATCACCAGCACCACGTCTGCAGAGTCCCCAACACGCAGGCGGTGGTCCTCAACTCCAAGGACAAGGTGAGGTACTCGTTCTGTTTAAAAACTCACCGCCTACGACACAAGAAGCAAACACTGATCCGTACGATCGCACCGTATCCTCCTCCTCCTCCTCCAGGCGCCGTACATCATCTATGTGGAGGTTTTGGAGTGCGAGAGCTTCGAGACGTCTCCCGTTCCAGCCCGGATCCCAGAGACCCGGATCCGCACGGCCCGCTCCGCAGAGAACCTGGACTGCGGCTCGGCGGCTAACGGCGGCAGCATGACGTCGGAGCACAGAGCGGGAAGTTTCTCCACCGTCCCAAACTACGACAACGACGACGAGGCCTGGGCCACCGACGACATCGGGCAGCTGCAGGTGGAGGTACTCACCTCGCCGGATTAAATGTTAAAATGTTCCCGTGTCCTCATGAGGAARGCAAACAAGCTTGTTTGTTTGTTTTGTTTTGTTGCAGGGGGAGGCTCAGACCAGCAGCAGTGACAACATCAGTCAGTTTTCAGTGGACAGCATCACGAGTCTGGAGAGCAAAGAGCCGGTGTTCATCGCTGCTGGAGACATCAGGTAGAGTCACGCTGCAGCTAAATGATGGGATTTATAGTGCGTTCACACCAAACTCGATTTCAGCGTCAGGAGCATCAGGTTTACATACAAAGTCTATGGTGGACGCGCTTCAAGCAGCGT